GGGCGCGGGGTTTACCGTTCCCTGGTGCAGGGAGGGAGGGTGGGCGCGGGGTTTACCGTTCCCTGTTGGCAGGTGAGGTTGTCGGGTTTACCGTTCCCTGGTGCAGGGAGTGTGGGCGCGGGGTTTACCGTCCCCGGGACAGAGATGTGGGGCGCGGGGTTTACTGTCCCTGGGGGCAGGGTTTATTGTCCAGAGGGCAGTTTGTTAAGGATGGAGGTTCGCTGTCCCCGAGCGGGTCGCGTCTGAGATTCACTCTTTTACCCCCTGGGGGTCGTGGTCAATGCAATCCCACACTTCGGGTTTCTCGAGGTTGGCTAATACTGGATGTAGACTCTCGATCTTTCCTTTCCCGTTCCCGTTTTATTCACAATCGGGTTCCTGCATTTTCTTTGTTTAGATTGTTCCGGGTTCCTCTATGTTTTGGATGTTCTTCAATAGGTAATAGGAATAAATCGTTTCCCCCCCCCCCCCCCCGACACCAACTCTTTTACTTTATTTGACCCCCCGTCTCCGTGCCATTATTTTTATTATCCCCATTTTAAATTAATGTTTTAAATCTCTCGCATCGGAAAGCTGTTGGCTGGATGCCCCCAAGAAGATGGCGCCTCTGCAGTGCGCAAACATCCTTTTGCTTGGGTTGTGCTTCAGTCTCTTTAATATTTTTTATTATACAAATAAACGTAAAATCATTTTCAAGAAGATTTATTTGTTTTGCTGTTTGCATTATTGACCATTTTTGTTGCTGTATAAATAAATGGGGTGTGACATATCACTGGGCAACGTGTATTTAAAAATGGGAAAAGGCAAATATGATTTAAAGGAGGAAAATCTGCCAGCAAAATGGAGTGGGTGACTCGAACCATCTAAATTCTGACTTACCACCTATCTAGGAATTTCCACATATAAGCCTCCTATATGCGTATTCCGTTATTTATTCTATCCCATGTCGTTTGTAAAATTCTGCGCTTTTAGTTTTATTTGTGCCCTTTCTTTCACTGTCTTTAACTTTATCAGGTTTTATGTCTGCCCGTTCTGTCTTGCAATTCTGGCAGTGTGCCTGTATTTTTTAATTTGTTTGGGCTCGAATCCCAGGTTCTTATCCTTGATATTTTGTCCCTTTATTTACCTTTATCCAATTGCCTGTTGCATCATTGTAATCGGAGAAGCTTTAATTTGACAGCCCAGCTAAGAATAGGATCTATGGCTTTGTAATTGGGTTGATATTTTATAAACCTTTCAGATTTTGACTGATGTAGTTTAGTCTTCGAATGATTTCTAAGCTTTTGTGCTGTTTTAATGTGGGATCTTCCTTCATTTTAAAATTTGGCTCAAATGTAAATTCAATATAAAGCGTTTGTCAAGATGTCAAGTTCTTCCCCATTATGGTAAACCTCAACACGATATCAAAAGAACCATTGGTGTTACCTTATTTAAATGATGAGGGCGATCAAAATTGCTAACCTGTTATAATGGCATTTTTGTGCTGGTTTTGTCTTGTGCTGTTTTGATTTGGGGGAAATATGTCTTTAATCATGAAAATTTCTGTTAGAGCTGACTTGTTTATGCTACTATGCACTGAGGTAGAAAAAAATGGTGATCTGTCAAAAAAAATCAGCATTGCAAAGCAGATTGGCCAGTCTGGTTCATACAGAGCTGCTTCCAGAATTTTGTTGTGGAATTTATTACCATTGTGACTTAGTAAACATTGCAAAGTGGATTGCATTTTGAAGTGCCCTTGATATGTTCATAAATTAATCTTGTTTAGGTCTGCTAACATCTATTTCAGTATTGGTTAGTTCTCACGTTAGTGACTATCTTAGATAATATATTGTGACTCTTTGACTAATGAAGAAAGCCGCGTAAAAAACTTGTTTTCCTTTTTTTCACAATCTTGCAAGGGTTTTCTTTCGAGACAGTATATATAAAGAGAATGCTGCTTCATAGCTGTACTATTCTGGAGATAGTAGGAACTGCAGATGCTGGAGAATCTGAGATAACAAGGTGTAGAGCTGGATGAACACAGCAGGCCAAGCAGCATCAGAGGAGCAGGAAAGCTGACGTTTTGGGCCTAGACCCTTTTTCAGAAATGAAGAAGGTTCTTCGGAAACTATTCTGGACATTGTGCACAAATCAAGCTAGGTGGCTCCCGTTTGTTTCTCAAAGGCCCTAGTTTTTGTCATAAATCTTGGAAATGGAGTGATTCTAATGGGCTTTCTGTATGCAATGGATCAGGAAAAGTGGAACGCGGAAAACAAGCTGTCATCACGCCATCTATTTGTAGGCAGTAACATTTTTGTCAACTTTTTATGAGCATGAAGTTAGTGAGGCGGGTGTGTGTCTGAACTAATTCTCTTTTCACTCTTTCAAGGGATGTGGGCATAGATGGCAAGAACAGCGTTTGTTGCTGTAGAGCTGAGTGGCCTGGTATGCCAAATTACAGTTTAAAATGAACAAATGGGCAAAAATAAAAGTTGCTGGAAAGGCTCAGCAGGTCTGGCAGCATGTGTGAAGAAAAATCAGAGTTGACGTTTCGGGTCTGGTGACCCTTCCTCAGAACTGATGCAACTTCTGTTTTTGTTCCTGATTTACAGCATCCACAGTTCTTTCAGTTTTTAAGTTATGATTCCGGAGTCAGGTAGATCAGACTGGGTAGGAATGGCAGATTACAGATGGGTTTTTGTGACCATTGATACGCAACAAATCCTTGTATTTACAAAAAGGTGGGAACTATCTTCTGTTTCAAACCGATTGAGTACATTTTCTAGTGTTCTCTTCCTGAGTCTCTTCAACTCCACAGGCCGTCAGGTCAAATCCAAAAATGTAATGCATTCATCTGCAAAAGAATCTTTGTGTGCGTTTCTGCTTTGTGTGATTTAGAAGCTCATTGAAGTGTGTTCTTACTGTACTTCATTCATTTAAAAATCAGAAAAATTTACAAGTGGATTCCCTAGTCTATGCTGAATCCACAGCATTTCAGTCCAAATGACCTTGGCAATTTCCGCAATCAGTATCAGTTATTAGAAGAAAACAATCAACCGAGACTTATACTTCTGATAACTATCCAACCTTAGTCCTGTTCTGACCAATATTCATTGGTGGGTAGTTTTCAGTAATCATTGAATCTTGCTTTCAAAGTCTGAGCTTGTATTTTCCTGTTTCCCCCTCTAACCCCCACCAAAGACATGTTGTCTCATTCTTGGCTCCTTTGTCATTTAAATCTATTAAATATGCATACAACATCATATTTCCTCGTAATTAATGTTTCACACGCAGTGATGGTTCGTTGACTAAAAGACCTACTTTACAAATTTCATTGTATGCCAGTAAGATTGCAGGCTTAAAAGATGCTGACTATAGATGCAAAGCAATTGACAGATTAGTATTTGCAAAATTCTGAAAAGACATGAGTTCTTTTTATCTTTTCCTTTTGCCTACAACAGTTAGAATGCACTTGAGACCTCTGCAGCAAAAATACATTGAAAATTTTACTACTCAATTTTTCTTTGTGTGAACAGAAAAACAAGAAGCAGTATGATTGTGGGCTGTATTAACGTTTGGTCCGTTGGTGTTGAGTTCTATCTTCATAATACTGTTACAAAGTACCAATGTTTGCTGATGGTGATCAAGGCAAAAGATGCCAAAGGTTCTGCTGTTTGCAGCTTTTACCATTTGTTGACTAAAATGGCTTATGTGCCAATCCGAATAGCAACAAAACCTTGGATTGGCTCACTGTACTGGAGAATAGCAAGGTGGGAAGCATAAAAGATGAGAGAAATTGCAGAATAATATACTTTTAATGTTAAATCATTTTGGATTTTGCACAAGAAATGTGTATATGCCATATGACGCATTTAAAATTACAGCCAGAAGTGCAGACTAAATCCAGATATAAAAACCAAGATTTTGTTTGCTGCTGTATAGAACTTAAGAATTTTCAGCAGGACCCCAGCCTGATTATGTGCACAGACAGCAAAAGGCTATTAGTCTTTGAAGTTCAGCTTGAGTGATATACAAAAGTTGGTACCTAATAGAGTAATGTTCTTCGAGAAGACTGCTAGCAGGTTTCTTTATTATTGGATTAGAGGTTATGGCACTTGGAGGAATCATTGAGAGTGACAAGGTCACAGAGTGTAAAATATGTGAGTTAATTCAATGTCTGCCATCACGAATGGCTTGGTTTTGAATGAGGTAGCTGAGTCTAAAGAATTCAGCTGCTACATTGTGTATAGGCTAGTGGTGAGGGAGCCAAGAAAAGGGAAGAAATTGAACTCTTCCTCACCAACTTGTTGCAGAAGTGTTATTTGGTCAAGATTCCGGAATTCCCTCCCTAATGACATTGTGGGTCTGCTGATAGCATGTGGACTTCAGTGGTTCAAGGAGGTAGCTCACCACCACTTTCTCAATGGCAACTAAGAATAGGAAATAAATGCTGGTCCAACTGGCAATGCCCACATCACATGAGTGAATAAAAATGCTGGGTTGAATCTGCCCAATTTACCATCCTATTTGTCTACTCATAGTCAGCAGAGTGTTCCAAGGGTTGTGACTACTATTACTTACCACTTGCAAAGAGAGAACCTGCTCACAAGTTTTAGGTCCA